TTCTTTCTCTAATTTCTTTAGGTGTAATATTAGATTGTTTTTTTGAGATATTTCTTGTTTCTTGAAGTAGGATTGTATTGCTATATACTTCCCTCTTAGAACTGCTTTTGCTGAATCCCAGTGGTTTTGGGTCGTCATGTTTTCATTGTCATTTGTTTCTAGGTGTTTGATTTCCTCAGTGATCTCTTGGTTATTTAGTAGCATATTGTTTAGCCTCCACGTGTTTGTATTTTTTACAGATATTTTCCTGTAATTGATGTCTAGTCTCATAGCATTTTGGTGAGAAAAGATACGTGATACAATTTTAATTTTCTTAAATTTACCAAGGCTTGATTTGTGACCCAAGATATGGTCTATCCTGGAGAATGTTCCATGAGCACTTGAGAAGAAAGTGTATTCTGTTGTTTTTGGATGGAATGTCCTATAAATATCAATTAAGTCCATCATGTTTAATGTGTCATTTAAAGCTTGTGTTTCCTTATTTATTTTCATTTTGGATGATCTGTCCTTTGGTGAAAGAGGGGTGTTAAAGTCCCCTACTATTATTGTGTTACTGTCAATTTCCCCTTTTATGGCTGTTAGCATTTGCCTTATGTTGAGGTGCTCCTACGTTGGGTGCATAAATATTTACAATTGTTATATCTTCTTCTTGGATTGATCCCTTGATCATTATGTAGTGTCCTTCTTTGTCTCTTGTAATATTCTTTATTTTAAAGTCTATTTTGTCTGATATGAGAACTGCTACTCCACCTTTCATTTGATTTCCATTTGCATGGAAGTTCTTTTTCCATGCCCTCACTTTCAGTCTGTATGTGTCCCTAGGTCTGAAGTGGGTCTCTTGTAGACAGCATATATATGGGTCTTGTTTTTGTATCCATTCAGCCAGTCTGTGTCTTTTGGTTGGAGCATTTAATCCATTTACATTTAAGGTAATTATGGATATGTATGTTCCTATTGCCATTTTCTTCATTGTTTTGGGTTTGTTTTTGTAGGTCTTTTCCTTCTCCTGTGTTTTCTGCCCAGTGAAGTTCCTTTAGCATTTGTTTTAAAGCTGGTTTGATGATGCTGAATTCTCTTAATTTTTACTTGTCTGTAACGATTTTAATTTCTCTGTTGAATCTGAATGAGATCTGTGCTGGGTAGAGTAATCTTGGTTGTAGGTTTTTCCCTTTCATCACCTTAAATATGTGCTGCCACTCCCTTCTGGCTTGCAGTTTCTGCTGAAAGATCAGCTGTTAACCTTATGGGGATTCCCTTGTATCTTATTTGTTGCTTTTCTCTCGCTGTTTTTAGTATTTTTGTCTTTGTATTGAATATTTGATAGTTTGCTTAATATGTTTTGGCATGTTTCTCCTTGGATTTATCCTGTATGGGACTCTCTGTGCTTCCTGGACTTGATTGACTATTTCTTTTCCCATGTTAGGGAAGTTTTCAACTATAATCTCTTCAAATATTTTCTTAGACCCTTTCTTTTTCTCTTCTTTTTCTGGGACTCCTATAATTCAAATGTTGGTGCGTTTAATCTTGTCCCAGAGGTCTCTGAGACTGTCCTCAATTCTTTTCATTCTTTTTCCTTTATTCTGCTCTGTGGTAGCTGTTTCCACTATTTTATCTTCAAGGTCCCTTATCCGTTCTTCTGTCTCAGTTACTCTGCTATTGATTCCTTCTAGAGAATTTTTAATTTTATTTATTGTGTTGTTCATCATTGTTTGTTTGCTCTTTAGTTCTTCTAGGTCCTTGTCAAATGTTTCTTGTATTTTCTCCATTCTATTTCCAAGATTTTGGATCATCTTTACTGTCATTACTCTGAATTCTTTTTCAGGTAAACTACCTATTTCCTCTTCATTTATTTGGTCTGGTCAGTTTTTACCTTGCTCCTTCATCTGCTACATATTTCTCTGTCTTCCCATTTTGCTTAACTTACTGTGTTTTAGGGTTTCCTTTTCTCAGGCTGCAGGTTCATAGTTCCCATTGTTTTTGGTGTCTGCCCCTAGTGGGTAAGGTTCATTCAGTGGGTTGGGTAGGCTTCCTGGTGGAGGGGACTGGTGCCTGTGTTCTAGTGGATGAGGCTGGATCTTGTCTTTCTGGTGGGCAGGACCGAGTCTGGTGGTGTGTTTTGGGGTGTCTGTGACCTTATTATTTTAGGCAGCTTCTCTGCTAATGGACAGAGTTGTGTTCCTGTCTTGCTAGTTGTTTGGCATAGGGTGTCCAGCACTGGAGCTTGCTGGTCATTGAGTGGAGCTGGGTCTTATCATTGAGATGGAGATCTCTGGGAAAGCTCTCATCGATTGATACTACATGGGGCTGGGAGGACTCTGGTTGTCCAGTGTCCTGAACTCAGCTCTCCCACCTCAGGGGCTCAGGCCTGACACCAGGCTGGAGCACCAAGACCTCTCATCACCCTCTTGGGCATCAGCACAAGGCAGGAATAAGCTGTATTCTTTATTTATCCCTCCTATTTTTCCAGAACCTTTTCTTCAAGGAGAAATCTCTGGGTTCTGCAGGAACAGTGAGTTGTGACCATCAGGTAAATCTGAGACTAAACTAAGTTCACCCAAAGTGGTGATACTTATTTCCCTTGTAGGAGTCCACATGGTATTAAGATGCTCTGTGGGAAGACTATATTAGTAGCTACCATATCTTGGATCCTGTGGATTACCTTGGGATCCAACAATCGTGCTTCCAGTATTTAGGCAACTTCTTTGAAAATCTATGTCCAAATGCAAACAAAGATGCAGTTATGCACAGCAGCTCTACTCATAATGGCTAAAATCTTGAAGAAATCAGAATGTCCCTCAATAGAGGAACACATAAGCAAATTGGCATACATCCATGTGAAGCCGAGTAAAATATGCCACCCCAAAATATCTGTCCATTGTCTTTTAATATTGTATATGATATCTTTTGCCATACAGAAGTCTTATGGTTGATACAGTAAAGTCAGTCTTTTTCTTTATTGCTTTTTAATATACATCTTAGGTAAGAGGGCTTCCCTACTCTAAGATTATATATATTTTTTTCCTTCATTTTCTCCTATTGATTTTACACATCTTATTTTACATAAAGTTCTTTGATCTCCAGAATTTATTTTTGTACATGTGTTAAAACTGCTATATAATTTACTACCTTTTCCCCTATTTGTATTACTATGTCTGTGAGTTGTCTGATCATATTTTTCACTCATTTTTCTGTTGGGCTGATAAAGACTATATTCTGCCCCGATAATTTGTTGGAATAGCTACTTCTATCCTTTCCATATTAAGCTGAAATGTCCTCTTTATCATATACCACATTATATTTTAGCCATGGCTCTATTTGTATATATTCTGTTCTGACCTACTTGACTACTTCTCTGCTAATATAACACTATTTTATTTACTGTGAGTTTTAAAAATAATGTTTATTCTTAAAAAGTTATCTCCACTTTTCTTATGTATTTTATTTTTAAATGAAGTTTAGAATCAACTTGTCAAGTATCATCTACAGTCTTATGGGGAATTCATTGCATTTATAGATTAATTTGGAGGCAATTTATATTTTTATAATAATGAGGCCTTGTATCCAGGAACAAGGTATCCCCATTTATTCAGGTCTTTTTGTGTGTGATTCATTAATGTTTTATATAGCTCTTTTTTTTTCATATAAGTTTTACACCATTTATGCTGAGCCTATTTCTAGTCATTTAAATTATTTTTTCTAGTGTGAATGAAAATTTTCCAGTTATTCCAGTAACCAGTTATTTTTAGTATGAAAAGAAAAACTGTTAACTGTTAAAAATATTTATCTTATGCTGAGTGAAATAAGTCGCAGAAGGACAAATACTGTATGATATCACTTATATGTGGAATCTAAAAAATACAAGCTAGTTCAACAGCAGAAAAGAAGCAGACTCACAGATATAGAGAGGAAACTAGCGGTTACCAGTTGGGGATGGGCCAGAGGGTCAATACAGGGGTGGGGAAGTGAAAGGTACAAACTGTTGGGTGAAAGATAGTCTCGAGGATGTATTGTACAATGCGGGGAATATAGCCAATATTTTGTAATAACTTTAAAGTAGGCTTTAAAAATTGTATTAAAAAATTAAAGACTATAAAAAATTTATCTCAAACATGAGTAGCTTACTGAAATGAATTTCTTATTTGATTCTCATAAATTTTCTTGATGTATAATCATAATGTCTGCAAAAGTAACTTGTCTCTGCTATGTGTATGCTTCTTTTATTGCCATCTTTTGGCATTAGCCAGGACCTCCTGAGTAGTGTTGAATAACCATGTTGATAACATATGTCTATGTCTTTTCCTGTCTTTAATGGGAATGGCTTTAATGTTTCATCCTTAACATGGTGTTTTTTGCTAGTAGCTGATGAAGAATTTTTATACTACAGCCATGGTATATGTGAGCATATCAAAGTTTAGAGTAAAGAATTGAGCACAATATGTGGGAAAGACCTCAGCTCTTAGAATAACCAGCTTGGAATTCTGGCTTCATCACTTACTGGCAGTATGATACTGAAAATGATACTCTGAATCTGTTTCTACATCTAAAATAGGAAGATAACGATACACATAAGGATAGCTCTGTTATGAGCAATTAAAGAGATATGTCAACAAGCTCCCAAAATGCTTGATATAGGTTGGACTCAATAAATCTAGATTCCCAACCGGATCCCAGAGGACTTGGTCAACAGAGAAAGCCAAGTAAAAAGCAGGATACCACTTATTGTATTCCTTCTGTCCTCCCACTCTTTGTTGAGAGCACGTGACTTACTAACATAATGTATTACACATTTAATTTCGCTAAAATGGGATCTCTAAGGCTGGCTCCACGCTGTAACTAAATCAATTATGCAACAAATGAGTGAGCCTATTAAGTGTGAATTTTTAAAAATGTACCAATATATCAGAAAGACAAGTATCTTTCAGAGTTGCATAAAGTTGATTAACTCTGTATATCTACAAATAGAAAAAAAATCTCATTACACTAAACCTTTTTATTTTAAGGTCCAAATGGCTTCATCAAGGTTTGAGAAGTCACCCAGGAGTGTTTGAATCCAAGGTAAGGGTCACTTTATTACGAAGGTTTATTAGTGTTGTTAGGGACACGTTACTGCTAAATTAATCAATATAATTAAAAAAGAAACAAGCCTATTATGAAGTACTTTATGCATGTTCGAATTTCGCTAACTTAGAAGGACAGAGGCCAGTCCCCACATGGACAAAAGTTTATTTCTTCTACTGAGCTCTAGTCACAGCTAAATCATCATAGTTTGAATGGCCCTACACAGTTTTTCAAATTTGGGCAAGTCCCATCCTGCCATTTGTAATTTGAGTGGCAAATATCTACACACATACCTATTATTTGTTTTTTTTTTTTCAGCATCAGATGGGTTTTATTTCAGATCAGTTTTATTTTTTCTTCTTCCACTTTTATGGAGATATCATTAAAATACAGCACTGTCTAAGTGTAAGGTGTACAGCATAACGATTTGACCTACATACCTCATGAAATGATTACCACGATAAATTTAGTGAACACCAATCATCTCATAGAAATATAAAATAAAAGAAGAAAAATATCTTTTTCCTTGTGATGAGAACTCAGAATTTACTCTCTTCACAACTTTCATATATAACATGCAGCAGTGTTGATTATATTAGTCATGTTGTACACTCTATTAGTTGTTAGTTACAACATTCACTGTGATTTTGTGGCTTTTAGAGAAATGCTCATTTCATGTAAGTCTCAGTTTCCAAATATAAAACATGGAACATGTGATGAAACATGTTTTAATCTACCCAGGTAGGTGGGTGAATCCCTTTGAGCATGGACCACGCTTTCTGTGACTTGTACCTCCATAAAATTCAGCAGAGAATTCAGAACACAATATGTGCTTCCCTAGATATTTTAATGGCAGTTAATGAAAACAATACTTGAGTGGTTTAGGGAGTTTGGCAAATTTTGAAGTTTGTTTTTCCAAAGAGATTTTATGTTATTTGTTGATAGAGATATAAATTACTCGTGTCTGTAATAGCAACAAACGCTAGTTGAGCGAGTGGTTCAAATAGTGAAAAACAACTATTTGATTGCTATCGAAACAAAGTTTATTGAGTGAACTGCAATTAAAAATAAAATAGGGTAAAGTATAAAGAAGTATAAACTTAAAAATAAATAGGTCCCTTACAAGAAGATAGATTAGCTAATAAACTCAGGGGAATCTTGTTAGAAAATTGTTATGTAAGTGAGTAACGTCTATAATGGTTGATAGTCCAGCTTAAAAATTTTAGGGGGCAGAGGTAATGCCCTTCATGTACCTTCACGTTCAGAAAGCTGGATGACCTTCTCTTTGAGCGGCGGGGGCATTCCCTTTTGTTCTCCAAATGCACAATCATACATCCTGAATCAGAACCACTGAGATTAATGACTGTGTCGGTGTTGAAAGCTTGAGGCCAGCCAATTGCTGTTAATATACTGAAAGCCAAATATGTTTTAAAAGAGTGTGGTTGGTCCTTGAAGTGTGGACGCTGAGAATATTTGAAGGCCAGTGAGCAAAATCTCCAAAGGAGAAAGAAATGGTTTTATTTTTCACATAACCTATCAAAGGTGAGTTTTGCTGCGTTCAAGCAAATCAAAATGATTATAGGCGATTATAGGCGACTTGCTGCAAAGATGTTTTGTGTGTGTGTGTGTGTGTGTGTGTGTAAGTATACACACATCAGCAAGACTTTTCTCTTTCCAAGAGGAAAGCTATTTCTATATTCCCTTAATGTGAGACTTGTGATTTCCTCAATTTTCAGTCCAAATGGGAAGTTTCTCTTTTTCCATGTGTCCCCAGACACAGGAGAAAGCTTAAGGAGAGTGACACAGGCAGGGGCCCGTGGCCTGGCTTCTCCCCCTTCACTGCCTGCCTTCTGGGGCCTGGCCTGGTGTATGGCCGCTGTTTATACCTGCTAAAGTGCTTTCAGTGTTTGCGTTGGCGCTGCCACCTTACGTGCTAGAGCCCCAAGCCATTCATGAGGTCTGTCCCAGAGCTTTGAAAACTGCAAGCTGGCACTGGGGCAAGAGAATGTCTCTCTCATTTTTTGGGTGAACTCCATGTTTTTTCCAAGAGGTTAGATCACTGTCGCAGTCCAGGCTTGCTAGACAGAATGTAACAGTTACTGTTGGAGACACTCTGAACTTTTAAGGGCAAAAGGCAGAGGGGGAAGGGAGAGAGGAAAAAGCTCAAGGTCAACTTAACAGCTTAAAAGTGAACACTTTTATATCTGGTAAACAAAGGTTTTTACGGAACTGGAAAACTTTATCACCAAGGAAGGAAAAAATTATATATATCACTTCTTGTTATGGCAAGAGGCTATGTAGTTCCAGAGTTCCCAATTCCATCCCAAGTCTTGTTTGAGACCAGACCAGATTAATCAGTGGTCATGGCAGGGGTGTTAGGAGTGATGTAATTTTTGTAGAAATTTACCTGGCTCTCTCCCTGGTTCTTTCATTGGCCCTAATGATTTTTAGAAGATGTGTCTTCTTCAAAAGTGGCAAAATTAGGAAAACTCTGACACCTGCTTGTCCCCTGCCCACCATTCTTGGCTTTTCCTTCCCTGTGCCCATTTTTTGTAGTAATAGAAATATCCCAACTGTTTTTTGGCTACGATTTCTCTCCCCTCATCTCTTTCCATGGGAAGTCTTGGTTGATGGGAGAAATTTTATTTTGAGTATATAAGCTTGGGTGTGACTAGAATTATTTATTTTCCTTCTGTTTGTGTGTGTGTGTGAATGAATATGATATAGATGTATAAAAGACATCATATATGAGAAACTAGTAAATTATTAAAGTGTTTTACACCAAAGTGTAACAACATCCAAATAAAAAAGTAGACACATGGAAGAATTGAAGTTTAAGGCTGAATATGACTGAATTCCAAGGTTCATAGCAACTTTGTTTACAGGAAAACATAAGAGAGCCCTTGTTACACCCTCTTCCCCACCTCTGACCCCCAGTGAAGTACAAGGTCTGTGTTCTTATAAATATGTTAAGAATTTCATCTGTAATGTTTGTCTATGAAGAACATAAAAATGCCTTTGAATGGAGTAAATGCCAATCTTATTTCACCAACCCAAGGGAAAAAATTCCTACTCTTGGTTTCCACCTAGAGAAATGCTAGTGAGAAATGAATAAGCTCTCCTAGACTCTTCAAGGTAGTATATTTATTCTTGGGTCAAACTCAGTGGTCTTCCGTTTTACAGTTCTACCCCCTTCTTCATATTTCATTCCCTAACCTGACTCATGCTGTTTGTCTGATAAGGCTGAAGGAGGTCTACACCGAACATTTAATTTGACCTTGTCTGGAAGCAATACCATTAGAGTCTTATATTCATTTTAATGTGATATGGCTGTTCCAACATATGGGATGACTTTGTCATTCAAGAGATTTATTGATGTAATGTGTATTCCCTGGTCCTTTCATGAAAAAATGTTTATACCTGTGGCCATATCCAGATGGCAGTGAATGACTCGCATTCATGAGAACAGCATTCAGCAATTCATGGTTGCCAAGGTAAGCAGCAAAGGCATGCCCTCTGTACTCTACTGCCTTGTAAAGAAATAGCCTCTAAGGGAACAGACTAGCACCCTTGAGGCCAGCGTTCCCTAGTGTTTTAGACTTGGTGAGTAGGTGGAGGGGAAGAGAAGAGCCAGAGGGACAACATGAACTAATACCAAGGAAGCAGTTTTTTGTTACTGTTCTGGCAATTTTAAAAGGGGAAAGAGTTGAGGGAAGAGGAGGGGGTTCAGAATGTTCCACTTCGGGTCTCAATAGAGATTTAATTTGGATCTGCCCCGTGCGTTGTGAGCGTGATGCCCCTTTCATAGGCTAATTTCAGGGACACAGGCAGCTAATGGTCCAAGGCATGACCGAAGGGACAGGCTCTAGGCTGTCACAGGCTATGACTGTCAGGTGGTAAATAGGCAGGCGCTCTGATTCTCTGGGAATTTGTGGCATTTTTAGGATTGACGTTTTTTTCTGTGCTGTATCCCCTTAATGCTATCATTGCAATGGTAAAATGTAACCTGAACAAGTGTTCTCCAGGAGATATTGCTGGCCTGGACTTAACAGTCTTGATGGGAAGGATTTTTTCATTCGATCACCTTCAAGTGCAGAAAATTATCAGGTGACAGCTTTTAGTTCTTACAGCCAGTGGCAGTGTAGATGTGAACCGGGTAGGTAATACTAGGATATTATATCCTTTATAGAATTTGGCCCATGGTTACAGCTTAAATACATGATATATTGCGGGAGGCGGGGGGGTTTCCATCGAATTAGAGAGGTTCTCACATTAAAAGAAGACAATGGTTTCTAATAACTGAGTTTGCATTTTGGTGTTATTGGAGAAAAAGAGCGGTCCTTAAACATCACAAAAGGAGCCTGGATTATAGAAACATAATAACTTGCTTTGGCTAGCTCTCTTCTTGTCAATATTGTTCAGGTGTTATTGAAATGGCCTTGGGGGTGGGAGGAGCAGGGACTGGCATATATGTTAGTTTTGAAACCCAAACAGACCATAGTGAATGTATCTGGTTGGACTGGCATAATGTCAAATCCATTCTTAACACCAAATAGTAAGTGAATTATGACACGCTAACAAAAAGTCAGTTTGGGTTAGAAGAACTCCATTTGTTCGAATTCTTTCCCTTTGGTTTACTCTTAAACCAAGAAGTATATTTAACAGGATATTTAACAGAGAAGGACACAGTGAATAGACTGTGTCTTTAATGCTCCCTCATGTGACATAGCAGAGGGTCAATGGAGGGGTCAGTGCAGCCTTGACAGCAACCCACTAGGTCACGAGGGCAATGAAACTGCCCCTTTTTCATTAACCCCTTTGAATGGGTTAATGCAGACTCCTACCTTTTGTACCAGCAGCCTGGGAGAGGGACCCATTCACACTCACAGAATCTACTGCCATATAAAGGATTCCTTGCTGTACACCAGTTAAGATAGTACAGTGGTCTCCTCACCGTATCACCTAGTTACAGAGGCCTGGGCCCGGCCCACCACAGC